TTTGCCCATTTTTGAATTGGATTGTTTTGTTATTGTTGAGTTGTAGCTCTGTATATATTCGGGATATTATTCACTTATCAGATGTAAGCTTTGCAAATATTTTCTCCCATACCATGTTTAGTCTTTTCACTCTCTTGATAGTGTCACTGGATACGCAAAAGCCTTTCACTGTTGAATTCTGAGAGTTCTTTATTCTAGGTATGTCTTTGTCAGATACCTGGTTTACAAATACTTTCTCCCAGTCTGTAGCTTGTTTTTTCATTCTTTTTTTTTTTTTGTAATTCTCTTCCTTTTTTTTTATATTTTTTTATTCTTATGTTAATCCCCATACATTACATCATTAGTTTTAGATGAAGTGTTCCATGATTCATTGTTTGTGCACAACACCCAGTGCTCCATGCAGAATGTGCCCTCCTCAATACCCACCACCAGGCTAACCCATCCTCCCACCCCCCTCCCCTCTAGAACCCTGTTTGTTTTTCAGAGTCCATCGTCTCTCATGGTTCGTCTACCCCTCCGATTTCCCCCGCTTCATTCTTCCCCTCCCGCTACCTTCTTCTTCTTCTTCTTTTTTTTTTTTCTTAACATATATTGCATTATTTGTTTCAGAGGTACAGATCTGAGATTCAACAGTCTTGCACAATTCACAGCGCTTACCAGAGCACATACCCTCCCCAGTGTCTATCACCCAGTCACCCCATCCCTCTCACCCCACCCCCCACAGGGTCTTTCACTGGGGAGAAGTTTTTAATTTTGATGAAGTCCAATGTATTGGTTTGCTTTTAAGTATTATGTCAAAGTACTCTTATCAAGCCCTAGGTCCCAAGTATTTTTTTCTATGTCTTCTTCTAAAAGTGTTATGATTTTATGTTTTACATTTAAATCTATTATCCATTTTGAATTAATTTTTATATAAGGTGTAATGTTTAAGTCAAGGTTTTTTCTTTGCCTATAAATATCCAGTTGCTCCAGCACCATTTGTTGAAAAGGCTATCCTTTCTCCACTGAATGGCTTTTGCATCTTTGCCAAAATTCAGTTGAGCATATTTGTGTGTGTCTATTTCTGGGTAGTCTAACCTGTTTAGTTGATCTATGTGTCTATCCTTCTGCCAGCACCACATTGTGTTGATTATTGTAATATATAATAAGTATTAAATTTGGGTAGAGTGATTCCTCCCATTTAATTCTTCTTTTCCAAAATTATTGTTATTATTCCAGTTTGTCTTTCCATATAAATTTTAGAATACTCTTGTAACTACAAAAAAAAATCTTGCTGGGATTATAAGAGGAATTATGTTAAACCTATATGTCAGTTTGGGAATAATTAACATCTTTACTACGAGTTCCCAATCCATGAACCCAATATGTATCTTCATATATTTGTATTTTCTTTGATTTCTTTCATGAGTGTTTTGTCAATTTCAGTACAAGTCCTGCCCATGTTTTATAAGATTTATACCTAAGTTGTTTTGTTATGATTGTAAATAGTATTACATTTTTTATTTTGGTTTCCATGTGTTCATTGCTAGTATATACATAAAAGTATAATTGATTTTTGTCTATTATCTTGTATCCTGAGATCTTGCTGAACTCACTTTTCTAGAAGTTATTTTGTTGATTTCTTGGAATTTTAAAACTAATTCCTTCATTTTGTTAAAAATAATAAAAAGTTCATTTGTTCGATAAATTATTAGATTGTTTACTTTGTGCCAGATACTGTTCTAACTACTAGATATGGAGGTTACTAAGAAAATTAGGGTTTCTTGACCTCATGGAGCTTAGATTCTAGAGGAAAGAAAAGGACTGCAATTAATTAACAAGTTAATTTCACATGATGGCTAAGTACTATAAAGAAATAAACAGAATAACATAATAGTGTGGTAGATAATCTAGAACTGACCCTATGAGGAGATGACTTCTCAGCAGACTTAAATTATAGTAGCCACAGAAGAAAGTTTCAGTAAGTACAAAAGCCCAGAGACCTGAAAGAGTTTGACCTGAGGAAAAACCATAAGAAGGCCAGTGTGGCTCACATAGTAAGGAGGAGAGTGGTAAGAAAAAGACTCAAGAGCTGCTTCATGTGAAGTCTTGCAGTTAATGGTAGGCACTTGAATTTTATTCTAAATAAGATGGGAAGCACTGAAGGTTTTAAAACTAAGTTGTTAGGTAAGTGTGGTGTGCATTATTTAAATCATAAAAAATATTATCCCACCATACCATATTTCTTTCCATCTTTTTAAAATTTAAAAAATGTACATGAACATAAACTGCATGAAGTGATTATTAGCAACTATTCACAAGATGATTTATTAATCACAGCTCTTTCTAGTCTACACAATGAGTTTGCTTTTGATTCTATAAGGAAATATAAATATCCTGGGTAAAGATAACCTCATAGTAGTGCTGTTGCAGTTGGCCAACTCTAACCACTGCCTTTGAAAATGTCTTTCCTCTTTGCCTATCACAAATATATAAACACACATACATTTTTCACCTAATAGCTATTTATTTAACCTTTCATGCTTTCATAACCTTATCTATAAATTGTAGTCACTAATGTCTACTTCCAAAGTCTGTTTTGAGAACTAAGAATAAATTATACTATATTGAGTTCCAGGCAAATAGAGGGTGTTTAATAAATGATAATTCCCTATCCTGAGCTTTTTCTCATTCACCCCCATCACTTACCTCCTATTTCCAGACCTAAGATAGTTATAAAACCATTTAATTCATAACTGGGGCCTTAGAGTAAATTTTTATACAAAATTTTAAAGCCTGTAGCAATAGCACCTATTAATTCAATGATTAGTGGCACAACACCCTTCAACAAAATCTTTCCATAGACTTTTGAAAATATTTTAAGATATTGAACAAGAACATGGTACTGTATGTAACTTTCAGTTGTGGGATAAAATCAATTATGTAAAGCCAGCTACTTTTAACTGAAATCTTATAACAATAGAAGAGCATATTGTGTACATTCTTTTTTTTACCAATGGCAAAACAGGAAAACATGCTTTGAATATTTTAGCATAAAAACCTACTAAATATTTTATTTCATGCATCTATCACTCAAGAAGTACTTTAAAAATACTGAGTCATGGTGCTTTTGGAAGCCTGACAGTATGAAACTATGTTATCCATATTATGCAGACTGAGAACAACTTGCACTATGTTCTCTCAGACATCTTATTTTACAACATTCAATTTCTCAAGACAGAATATTAACAGAAAGAAAGGTTATAATGATTTGTTAAGTTTTTAACTAACCAGTACTTTTTTCCTTCCTATTTTGGAGTAATTACTTCACTCCTGTTATTCAGCAATCTTCAATCATCTTTAAGTGGCTCCCTAGCAAACCCTCCACTAAGGCTAATTCCAAATCTCTGCTACTCCACAAATCCACAGTCCTAGCATTCATTCCTCTTAATGTTTTACTTTCTACATTATTTTTGTCTTCCAATATGGCACCATTTCCAGTAAATTCCAACTTTTCTCTGTAGTTTTACCGTCTATCTATTTGAAAAGGAAAAAGTTCCAAAGCTATTCCTGTGCTCTAGCATGATTGTCTTTTAGACCAATCAGTTGCCTTATTTCTCTTTTATCTTCAATTTCTTCCTGCAGACTCAGTCTCAAGTTTCCTCTACTCGGCTCCTTTCTCATCTAAACTGCTATTCTTACGATTACCCTAATCGACATGTTAAATATATTGGTATAATCATTTTGTAAATTGGTAAAAGCAAAACAATATTTAGCAAAGTAAAAAATGTACAATTTTGTTCATTTTTCTATTGGAAAATATACCTATCTATTCTATTTCTGTTCTATCTTAAACCATTTCTTTTAAGTTTTGTCATTATTGGAGGCCATTTATGCCTTATTTCACAACTATATTACCCAAACCTGAATGGGGCTATAATTACACAATTTTTTCCAATTTAAAGGCCTCTGATTAAAGCCTATATTCTTATTGTAAATCTTTGGAATTTAACTTGAAAGAAGTACAAGCATGATGACTGCAGCTGTTTACTGTAAACAGTCTTCAATGTCAGCATGCACACATACAGGCAAACCTCAGAGATACTGCAGGTTCAGTTCCAGACCACTGTAGTATGAAGTGAATATCACAAGAGTCAAATAAATTCTGGGGTTTCCCAGGGCATATAAAAGCTACGTTTACACAGTATTGTTGTCTGTTAAGCGTGCAAGAGCTTTATGTCTAAAAAAATACATATCTTAATTTAAAAATACTGTATTGCTAAAAGATGCTAACCATCATGTGAGCTTCCAGTGAATCATAATCACTGCTCACAGATTACCATAACAAGTAATGATTAAAAAGTTTAAAATATTACAATAACCAAAATGTGACAGAGCCACAAAATTAGCAAATGCAGTTTGAAAAGCAGCGCCAATAGACTTGCTTAACGCATGGTTGCCACAAGCCTTCAATTTATAAACCAGGATCTGCAAACCACTATTTACTCTAGTGCGTGAAGTGCCACTAAATGCGGAACTAAAACACTGTGCAATTTTCACCTGGTTTTCTATTTTCAAAGTACTCTTTAATATGACATAGGCAAATATATACCTGTCATTCTTTCTCACCTGCCACCTTTTCCTTACTCTTCCACCATTTTTTGGACAGCTTCTAGTTTTTCAGCGTGCCCCAAAAGCTCACTAAAAGGATAGTTAGAGGCTTGTATAAAACAAATCTCTACCAATAATGACCCTCACTAAATGCACGCAGCTGCCAGTACAGTTCTTACTTTAATAACCACAACACAGGAGAAGGCACTCACATTTAGGAGCCCTAGCTCATCTCTCGATGAACGAACCAAGACCTAAACCATTTCTCCTCAATCACAGTTTTGAATTCTCTTCCTTACTTTCTCCCCGAAAGTTTTGCTCTCGTTCCCAAAACTTTCTCATTCACAAAATTTTACATAAACAGCACTTCCTCAGGCTTTCACGAGTAACCTGACCTTCGCAGAACCTACAGAGGTCGGAAGGTGGGAATACTAGAGTCGTGGCCACTTCCTCAGCGTCCACTCCCGGCCGCGCCTCCCAAAAAACCGCCTGTGACTCGACACACGTTCCCCAATGACGCGAGAGTCGCCGTGCGACTCGACTGGAAGCGGCCGCACCTGCGCAGCAGCGGCGGAGAGGGGCGGGGCGGGGCGGGGCGGGGAGGGGGTCGGAGCGCAGCCTGGAGGGTGGCCGCGAGTTGGGGAGGAGAAGGGGGAGACGGGTAGAGGTGGTTAGAGAGTTGGAGGGGCGGAGGGCCCGAGGGCCGGAGGGCGGGCCTTTCCGGAGGGACCTCCGTCCTTCACTTCCTGTTTGCGGGAACTTCTGAATCCGGGTCAAGGGGGTTCACCTCCTTATCTTCTCCGGGGCTGACCCGGCACTTTCAGTGACAGCGGCTTCTGACTCAAGCCAGGGCTGGATTCATCTTTCGACCTGCTGAGCCCGGACGTCCACACCTGCCTCGGGACACTAAGGCGCGCTTCCTCCACCTACTGGCTGGCAGCCACCGGCCTTGAGTGACCGCCGCCGCCGGGGGTCCTCGCCATCCCCTTCGCGCTGATGCTGAGAGGGAGCGCGGGCCCGGGGCGGCGGCGGAGTGCGAGCCGCTGGCTCCCTAGGCCCGCCGCGGGCGGTGCCGGTTCCGACGCTCCCCAGGCTTGCCACCTCCCGCCCGGGCTTGGATGGGCCCCTCTGCCCGATAAATGTGGCTGCTGAGACTGCGGTGGCGGTGGTCGGTGCCGCTGCTGGTGCTGCGCTCCAAGTTCACCTTTGCCGCGGGACTCTCCTGCCCCACGTCGGGACTGTCGCCCCCCGCTCCTAACCCCCTGGCCCTGGCCTTGCAGTTTGGCGACAATGGACAAGATCCTGGAGGGCCTGGTGAGTTCTTCGCACCCCCTGCCCCTAAAGCGGGTGATTGTGAGGAAGGTGGTGGAATCGGCAGAACATTGGCTAGACGAGGCGCAGTGTGAAGCCATGTTTGACCTGACCACCCGGCTCATCTTGGAGGGCCAAGACCCCTTTCAGCGGCAGGTGGGACACCAAGTGCTGGAGGCCTATGCGCGATACCACCGGCCAGAGTTCGAGTCCTTCTTCAACAAGACGTTCGTGTTGGGCCTCCTTCAGCAGGGCTACCACTCGCTGGACAGGAAGGACGTAGCCATTCTGGACTACATTCACAACGGCCTGAAGCTGATCATGAGCTGCCCATCGGTGCTGGACCTCTTCAGCCTGCTGCAGGTGGAGGTGTTACGCATGGTGTGTGAGAGGCCGGAGCCGCAGCTCTGTGCCCGATTGAGCGACCTCCTGACCGACTTCGTGCAGTGCATCCCCAAGGGGAAATTGTCGATCACCTTCTGTCAACAGCTTGTTCGAACGATAGGCCATTTCCAGTGCGTATCCACCCAGGAGAAGGAGCTGCGGGAATATGTCTCTCAGGTGACAAAAGTGAGTAACTTGCTGCAGAACATCTGGAAGGCCGAGCCCTCCACACTCCTGCCTTCCCTGCAAGAAGTTTTTGCAAGCATTTCTTCCACAGGTAAGTGTCATTATATTCCAGAAAAATCTCTTGGAAATTCAGTGTGTCTCTTAGACACACATCATCTTTGCTTCTCTGCCCTGAAAACATTCTTAATGGAGAACAAGTCTTAATACCCTCATCCAAAGTTTAATTCCCATCCACTTCCGTATTTAGGCTGTCCCTTTGTACCTTTGGGAAAAAAAGAAAGTAGTGTTCCTATTCTAAATGTTGAAAACATTAAGGTCTAAGACCTTTGGCACTAAGTAAGTTGCTTAATTACCCAGCCTCTGCTGAAGTTTTGGAATGCTTTGAGAATGATAGCTACTAAATAAAGCTTCTATTCATTAGTGACTAATGATAGCATAATGATGTTTACCATATTATTATTGTACTGTGACTCTGTCATCTTGGCATTATAAGTTTTTCCCCTGTTTTTTAATTTTCCCACTTTTTTATTCCTGGGCTGTGTGGTTTATTACTGGATTATCACAGTTAACTATGTAGTTTTTGAATACTGACATTTTTTTCTACAATAGTGTACAGGCAGAGAGGGTACAGGTAGAATGAGGGAAAGGAAAGAGTATGAGGACTTAAATAGGTGTTTTTGTACTCAGTGTATAGCCCATGAACTACATCCTTAGAAAGTGGGAAGGAGTCAAGTGATAATTGGCAAGAAAATACTTTCTCACCAGGAATTTTACCTTGCATTTACATTCCTTGTTTGGACTTGGAGCTTTCAGCTCTGTAAATTGTGAAACAATAGACCCAAAACTGTGTTCGCTTCCTCTCTACTTGGTACAACCATTCTCCTTTTCTATTGTTTGAAATTGAACTTGTGAAGGAGGTGTCTTTTATCTTGGGAACCAGAAATAAGAATAGAGTTTTAACAAGCTCCATGTATTCTGATGAATTAAATGTGTTTAGGAAAGAATTACCAACTATATATTTGCAGTATCTGAATTGTTTTAATTTTTTAATTGTAATTTTTCTTGTATTGCCTGTGTTGCTAGAACTGTTAGATTTCCCCAGAACTTTTTCAACAGTGGCAGTAAAGGTGCTTGCCTTGAATTGACTTAATTATTATATAGTTTAAGCAAAGTCCCCTCAAAATTCACCTTAATTTTTTACTTCTTTAAGAGATTTTTTTAAATCTTCCTTAGAGCAATGTAATGACTACTGTAATTAATAGTTACAAGTTACTTTGTCTAAAGTGGGAATTTAAATGATACTTTGAATTTTTCTGACTGCTGACTTACAAATGAATATTTTAACACAACAGTGACTTAATATTAATAATGCAGGAAAATAAAGTAACTTATGAACTAAATATGGTGTAGTGAACAGTAGTTTTTATATTGCAGTAGTTCTCTCTATAATGAGCAATCATTGCTACTCACCCTTCATCTCTCATCTCTGTAATTTAACATTCCTTGTATGTTAGAGTCTACCCATGTGGTAGAGCCTAACAACTGCTTCCTGAGTAACACCTTTGCCGCAAGTACATTTTTTTTTTTTTGTAAATTGTTGTTTCTCTCTAAATACTTCACTTGAACCTCCTTGCCATATTCCTTTTTCTTTTTAATTAAAAAAATAGATACATCATTTGAACCTTCTGTAGCATTGGCAAGCCTTGTGCAGCATATTCCTCTTCAGATGATTACAGTTCTCATCAGGAGCCTAACTACGGATCCAAATGTAAAAGATGCAAGTATGACCCAAGCTCTTTGCAGGTACTTCTTCATGACACTGTAGATGGTGGTGTAGATTTGGGAGGAGGAGATATTTTGTTGTATTTTGTGGGTGATGAAAAACTTAGATGTTTAAAACTGAAATCATAGAATGAAATACATATTCTCCAAACTAACTGGAATGAATTATTTACCTTACTATATAGGTTTGACAGGCCTCCCGGTAATTCAAAGTCCATTTTCAGTTCAGCTTTTTTAATTCCAAAAATATACATGTGTATACACTTACTGTACAGTAAGGAGTTGGTTGGATTATCAATATGTTTTACTAATTTCCTTACTCATTATGGTTTCCTGCAACCTGTTTCTTCTCCCTGGGTTTTTTAGTTTTTGTTTTTTTAAGCTAAGTACATACTTTTCTTTCTCTTTCAATCAGAATCTCTGGATAATACACTCTACCTTTGTCTGTTTAAATATGTTTTTTCTTCCTTATTCTTAAATAGATGATTTGGTAAGATGCAGAATTCTAATTTGATAGTCATTTTCTTTGCATTTTGAAAATAATACTGCATTGTCTTCTGGCATTTATTGTTGCTGATACGGAGTCTGCTGTCAATCCAATTGTCATTCCTTTGTGAGTAGTTAGGCTTTTTCTGGTACTGTTTATGTCTCTTTCTTCTTGATGTCTTTCAGTTTATTCTTATATTTCTAGGTGTAAACTTAATCTTTATCCTCAGCATTTTCATGCTTTTATTAATTCATTTGTTCATTTATTCAAAACGTGTTTACTGGACACTTACTTACCATGAGTGCTAGGCAGTGTTTCAAAACCTTGAACAAATGGATAAAAAAATCTGTCTTCATGAACTTGCTTTCTAGATGGAGAGGAAGACAGTAAATTAGTAACGTATAAGATGTATCCTGATTTCAGAGATGTCAAAATGTGGAAATATACAGTCACTTGATATTCTAGTTTAATTGGCATGACTTTTCCTTCCTTAGTGTACATAAACTAATTATACAACCTAAAATTGATTTTGTTTTAGATTTTATTAAATATGATAATTAAAACTATAATTTAGTATTTGAATAGTGATGAGTGTTTTGGAAAAAAAGTAGATAGGAAGGACATAAAGTATGAGGGAGTGGTTTGCAATTTTAAATAAGATGGGTTAGGAAGGCCTCAATGAGAACATGAAGATGAAGTAAAGACATAAAAGAAATGAGGGAGCAAAGCCTGTGGAGACCTAAGGGGAAGAACATCAATATTGTCTTACAACTCACTAATTTTTTCTTCAAAGGTACCCATTTGTAGAGCTTATTCTAGCTATTGAGTTTCTTTATTTCAATGACTCTATTTTTCTAATTGAGCTTTTCCTCTCTTCCTATTTTTGTTTCACATCTGCCTGGGTTTTTGGAATTTTTTTCTACAGTGTGCACGCACATGTATGTGTATATATGTGGCACATCTAAATAAAATACAAGGATTTGGAACAAAATGGTTTCTGTGTACCTGTTATAAAATTGCAGTCATGACATATAAACTTAAGTATTTATGTTGGATTTTCCAAAAGCTACATGTATAAATTTTACTATCTGTAACACAAACTTTGGGGACTTGGATTTTTTCCACCTTTTCCCCCTTTTTATGTAGTGTTTGAAAAGACCCTTCTCTTCTAGCTTTCCTTCTTTTTTCCTTGTGGTCTTAAATTTAACTGAATCAATTTAGCTGTAAATATTACTTTCAGTTTCTTGTTGCTCATTCTCTCAAAGTTCCACAGATCTATATAAATACTGTTCCTGCTATATGGCCTCTATCTCTACTACTTTCAATTTATGGTTATCTCCTTGCCATATTTAGTGTTCTGTATTTTTGTTTTCATCTTCTTGATAGCTTTGTATTCATAGTTCTTAAAATTCTAGAAATCCTGTGACACCATGCTGTTAGGATTTTCTTCATATTGTCTGTT